ATTTTAATAGGAATTGTAAGTTTAAGTTCTTTAGATACACTTAAGCAGTATAACTCATTGGTATCCTGTACGTATATTTTTAATTGCATTGAAACTGACTGTTGTCCGAAAATCTATCAGTTTTTTCAACGCTACATTGACAATTCGATCTTATATTTCTTCTTGAATTGACTCGAAAGACAAAAGACCACTTTCGGCCGGGAAATTGAATCAAGTTCATGCGCGCCAACCTAACACATATGTACTGGCACCGTGCACTGAGCAAAATGTCGCGTCGCCAACAATGGTTAAAGCATAAGCAAACGCGATGTCGATATTAGCTTGCATAATAGTTAGCTCGGTCTCAGGCCAATTGCATTGGCCTACTCACGATTGCTTCTGAGTTCGAGTAGAATTTAATTTGCCGAGCACCGGAGCGAAGTGGTCGCCAGAGTTCTCGGTTTCACCTGGACGATTCCCCGGTTCCGGCCTATTCGAATTTAATGCTCGAGACGAAATCAATACATAGAAATATCTCTCTGCTCGTGGCTGGCTTCCTGCGCCCGCACCCACGCCTAGGTTTCCCTTGCCTGTCGGTGTTTCGTCTCGGCCGGGACTACGAGTCAACAGGCCGGTAACTGTGCCAATAAAGGAGAAGTAAAGCTACGGAAAAACCAGGCGTACGAAGTCCAAGTTTTAAGCCACTCAGACATGCCGACACGCCACTAACCCCGCATACCAGGTCCAATTAAAACGCGTGCTTCTATCGCAAGTAATCTTTTCAAAGCTCGACGGACTTGTATTGAAAGTATCATTGAATACTTCGCTCGTTCATTATCCGTATCGTTCCGCGTTAGCGTCATCGGCACCCCGATCGCTTCAGATCCTCTTTTCACTCTATGGAGGACTAATAACCGTGGTGTCGATGCAGCCACGTCATACAGTTTAAGAAGAGTCTTTCGAGACTCCCCTCCTCGACTAGTTACAGAACTTTGCTGTTCAAACTAGATCGAAGTCTTCCTGCTTCGAGGAGTTCTCTAAATTCTCGCTCGGCAAACAATTACGCTCAATACTTTTGGGTCTCCGCTAGACACTGGGGTAGATTAAGAAACGAGCACGATCCATCCGGCTCAATTTCAATCGTCCCATTCGAGCTGCAGACTCATTTCAATTGTCGCAACGTGGGACGACGAGCGAGTGTCGCCAGGAAAGAATGAAGGGAAATACAGCCTGACGGGAGAGAGTACACGGAGACTCGGACCATGGGATGGGACGAGTAGCATTATCCCCTCGGCCGTGTGTTGCGATTCATTCGTCATTGTCCGAGGACGAGAACTCTTTGTGGCTGTGCGGTCCGGCGTGGCGTATGTGTATGCGCCCATTCGGCACAGGGAATGTTTAGCGAGCAGAACGGGCCGGTGTGGTTTGCACGCACGCGTGCGTGCTATTGCGACATGCGCTCACACTTGCAAACGGCGTTTCGCGTATTTGATGTATTTAAACTGGCGTGAAAACTTATGTGTGGGCCGCGCGTCGAGCGAGCAATCAGGCGCAGGGTGAAGAATCGCTCGGTGAAAGCCGTGTTCGAATTAGAAAAAAGGGAGAGACGAACCGAGGAACTCAACGGAGGAGGGACTTCGTTCGTGTTTTCGGGTTGGTTAAGCGCGCAATTCCGGAGATTGCTCGGTTTGCGCACCTATGTGGACACATGTGTGTACGTACGTACAATCCACGACAGTCGACTAACCGCTTGAAAATTATGTTGAGACAAAATAAGACTACGATGTATATTAATATCTTGCGCAACTGCCATTTTCATTTATGAAATGTGTTATCAAGTAAAGATACATAAAAATTATTAATATAATCAGCTTTCTAGCTTTCTATTCGGTTCCAATCACTAACTATAGGACTGAATGTTTTATAAATTTAAACTATCTTAATTAATTTTGCCAATAATTTAATTTTTATTATCAGAAAATAAGACTCGAACTTTGAGCAGTATAAATGATCATTATTAATATACATTCTATTTCCAGTTTCTTTAAATTGACGAAGGAGAAACTTAGAATTTTAAATAATAAAACGACAATCTATAAAAGTATCGAATTGTCATTGGCCAATCAGTGCAACAGATTGGTAAGATCGATCCGTAGAAAACAGCACGAAGGATGCTTCAAAAGAAAAATGTTCGGCACGCAGTGAACGTTCGAACACCTTTAGAATGGCAGCCAGTCACGCCTCGGCGCAAAGACTCGCGTAGGGTGACGCATGCTGGGCTGGGGTGAATAAACCTAAAAGGGAAGCAAGGACGTCGCACAACGACGATGACACACGAGTAGAAAATTACTGAAACGTACTGTCGAAGGGAATAATTAGAATCGCTAATCATCAGATCCAGAGATATTTGACCGAAACCTACGATGGCTTTTAAATTAAACATCGCGTTCGATACGAAGATTGATCGACAAGCTCGTAGTTGAAAATCTCTGGAAACTTTGTTCGTCGACTGTACGGCTTGCCTGGGGCTGTGGAAAATTTGGCAGAAACTACGCGCTCCTTCCCTTCTGGTAGGACCTCGTGAATATTTTAAAACCGGAGGGGACAATATCCCTCTCTATTCTATGACACACTGTTTTATGTATGATTAAAAAATTGTTTTAAAAGTACGCACATTCCTCTGACAAATATACTCCGTCCCCAGATCCTTGATCGTTATTGTAGAAATTTTGCCGAGAACTGTACCCTCCGTCGTTCGATAATTAAACGGAAAATAAAAAGGAGGCTGATAGAGTGCGATGAAGGTTTATTTTGGCGAGACGCCTGGATTACGGGAACCCGTCGTGCTTTAATGCAAGGAGGCCCGTAGCCTGACAACAAAGGGGTGAATAAGCTCTAGACTCTAGCTAGGCAAACATTGAGAGCGGCAGGGTGGCGACTGTTATTCAACACGCACACTTTTAAACGCAAAACTCCGATTTAAATCATCCGGCAATCGTTTGATCAGCGATAAAGTATACCGTTTTATTTCTAGTGTGCAGTTCTCCCTTACAAAGTACATCTATATTCCATTGTTTTCTCAAACAATTTCTTGAATCCTTAACTCACTCCTACTTGAACCAAATTAAACAGTTGGAAAAAACAGTGTTCATCTTTTAAGCTATAGCAGAAAATATTGGAAAACATTTTAAAGTACCTAGAAATCTCTTGCCATCGCTGTGCCATCAATGACCGTCTGGTATATCGACGTGGAACGTCTATGCGACTCGGATTGGTCCAGCATGTCTTTGTATCGGGTGGAGTTCGTGAACGTGCTGGCTGTTTCCGAAACAAAAGCTATATCCGGCCTTTCATTACCGAAGATTGTAGCCACGTTACTCGACTTTTTTTCCCTCCTTCCCAGTGGAACGAGGAACCACCTTCAGTAATCATAGACGAGCAAATATTAGAATCAAAAATATTTCGAATATTTAATGGTTCGTGAATAACTTTGCGGTGACAAATATTTGTCTTCCTTCGAGACTCGTTTCGCTGTGAAAAGTTGATGACGCATCCGTCGCCCCGAGAACAATTTCGTGTCTGCTCGATAGACAGGATGTAAGGGATATGGGGGAACTCAACAGGATTTGCAATGGGGAAACATTCATGTATATTTCGCTAAAGAAATTAAAGAGGATGACTGAGGGAAATGTATACGCAGAAAAATATATAAACGATGTGGTTACGCGATGTGAAATTCGATTTGTTATTGTAACGGAAACCACTTCGTCGATCGATTTCGAAGCCAGAAAATTTATCGCGATTACCTCAGGAATAACAATTGAAATCGAAAATCGGCACGTTTGTACACATATTATATTTATTACGCGTACAACAAGGTATACATTGTGTTACCATATAAACGATATATACCTATATAGTACAACACTATACATATATACGTATATTAAACCAGAACACTTGACGCATTCTCATAAATTACAAAGAGAGCAACCATGAAACGAAAATACGTAATACTAAATACATACGTATGTAATAAACAGATAGAGAAAAGAAAAAGAGAAGAATGGTGAGAAAACTGTACATTGGAAAAGAGTAGATGCGCGTGAAGATGCATTTTGATTCTCGATACTTCAGCTTAGGTACACTCAATGACGATGGCGTTGATTATGAATTCATAAGTTGCTCGAGGACGGTTGACATCCACTTCTTGTTCGTTAGCTCGACGCCGAACAACGGAAGCTGTCTTTTGAAGCTTACTACTGTCTCCCATCATTCTATCATCTTGAAGAGAATGCACGAGAATATCATGCCGAAGAACTGTGAAATACACAAACATTATCGTTAATGATATTTAGAAAAGCTTTAAAGTTCTTTTAACGCCGTTGAAATTGCTGGGAAAGAACGAATGAGAAAAAAAAAGAAATGTTTCGTGGACCGATGAAGCTCGATAGAGACCGCGTTTGTTAATGGATCCTCTTCACCAGCGTCGGGCTCGATTAAAAACGAATGAGAAGTAGAAAGTCACTCACCATCAGACACGCGACTGCAATACCAGCGCCGCCCATGATCGTCGCGTGCTTCTGCATGTAAATCTGCGTACCATTGATGCAACCGACAAGATAGGCATTCGAGGGATTCACCGTGTCTGATCCAGCGTTGCAGTTAAATCGCTGCAACAGAAGATCAATCGGTTCGCCCATGAGAAAGTCGATCGGATCGGGTGAAAGCGTGAGAGGCAGCGAACTTCTCCCGGGTAAAAGATTGCCACAGAATAGATGCTTTTCCGAGTGTAATCGATAGGTCGTGGTCGTTTCGAAATTCCATGCGGAATCCCTCCAACAGAGATGGGACTTTCTTAACGTTCCATATCACCACCGAGGAGAGATTACTAAAGAGTGGCAGCCTTATGGGACCTCGCGGCCCCAAAACTGGTCTGCAATTTTTGATGACCTCTAGAATGAGCTGGGCCGAAAAGTAAGAAACACGCAGCAAAACTGACGTCGGTTTTAAACTGCATTACTGTGTCAGACTGTCAGACGTGTTATCGACGAGTCGTCGATGCACCGCTAACGAAGTAATATCACAAACAAAGTATACATAAGTAGAAATCGATCAATGTATTTCTTTGTGTACTGTCGATGTGGTTCCAGCTCTAATAGAGATCGAACGGGATTGTTCATAGTCCCAATTATAGTTATTAAATAAGAAATGTTTTAC